AGTGGAGGATGAATGAGCTATGGGATTGACAGATGGAAGGAAGAATTACCAGCTAAGCATTCAATCACCTGCTGGGTATGTAATTGGTTGGAAGGGACATACAAAGCCCTTTGCATGCTTCAGATCAGTCTGTTTCCACTGCTGTACACCGTCATCCCCCAGTTCTCTGAGGGGTTTAAAGTTTCTGAGTGGGGACCAGACCCATGGACATTTACTCTAACTGCACTGAAATAATACATGAACCTTTAATTACACACTTTGGGAAAATGCCATGTTTGTTTTAGCCTACAGAGCTAACCACAGAACTGCATGTTGAAGTCTCATATGATGTTTTTATCCACAAAACTTTAAAATTTAAGGATGAGGGTCATGGCCCCCCTGGCCACCCCTTGAGGGCACCATTGTGAAAATGTTTTGGTAAATCACAGTTAAAGTTGGGATTGAATTTTAATGTAACCAAGTAGAACTAATTTAGTTTCATGAGATTATAAAATCTTAAATATAAAAGTACTTCAAATACAGTACAATATTACTGGTCTGTTCTCTCCAAGTAAAGCTATGTTTATTTGTTGTATAAGCTGCGTTCATGAAGACAATTCAGAAACCATTTTCTTCTCTGGGAGGAAAAAAAGATTTTTGCTGACATTACAGGACAGAAAGCCTTCAGAAAGTCAAATAAATAGACAAACACACATATACATGCACATTAAGTCCACTAAAACAAACAGCACCATTTTTTGTCCTGTAGTGAGGATTAGTATTCTCTCAAACACACACCATGCAGGATGCACCATCTGACAAATCCCTCTGTGTGTCCTCCCAGAGGGAGCTACAGTCTGAATAAACACTACAACAGCCTCCATGGGGATTAGCCTAATGTGCAGCGGTGTAGCACAAGTAATATGTCGCTTTAATTGTCCCCTAAATTAAACACGTAGCAGTTTATCTTCAGATCCCATGAATCTTATAATCCTTCCTCACTCTCTATTGCTTTTTATCAATCAATGATGAAAAGCCCCCCCTTAAATAAATGAATTTTCAAAAAGCACCCCTCTCCTGCTCACACATACGCTCGCAACTTGAGCTACTTTGTAAGACAAAGTGTATCTGATCACAAGTTTGCACACACACACCATATTTCATTGGTGGAGGTAATTTATTAGCCAATTAGGAATCATGAAAGCACACAGTTCTGCAGTCAGTGATTACTGCCTCTGTGTGATGATGAAATTTATCATTCTTACTGAAAAGCTGAGAGGATGTGTTTCTTCACATAAGCAATGATGAAGGGGAATTGAAAACGACAGCTACAGCCATTAATTCCTTTCTCCTTACTTTCTCGACATAATAAATATTCAGTCTAGATCACCACCGAAGGCTTTTCCAAGACTGTTGTGGCCAAGTGGCAAGACACAGGACTGGTGAAATAAATGACTTAGGATCTACAGGCGGCTAGACACCTTAAAGGGCTCAGAATTCAACTTCAGGTTCTGGGATTTTATCTTTTATTCTCCTGGACTTTGCAAGTTGGACATAAACTGGAGGTTCAAATAGATCCAACACATGATGGCTCACCAGAAGACAGTGGACTATACCAAGTGAATGTATACTCTGAAATGTGTGTACTCTAGAGTGTGTCTACTAAAGGCACCCTTAAAGACAGTCACACTTGTGAGCTGTATTTACCAGAGTGTATTCACCCTACACATGCAGTTGACTCAGTTGGAAGTGGATGTCAGACACAGACAAGTCTTAACTACAGTTCCACTTTCTAACTCTTTACACTGTTGGGCTTTTACTGTAGCTGCATCTCTCATCAGCAGACAGAGTTTGTTCAGTTCTAATAGAGATGGCTTATAACAGGGGACTGTTGTGTTATCACCAAATTGAAGTGCTGCACTAAGGTCATGTGCTCTATCCCTGTGAGAGCACACCAGGGATGCACTGATCCAGACTCTTATTACATAGATTGGTCTCAGCCTTCTCCTCAAATAAAGTTTTTTCATCATTACATTTAAGTCTGTCAAACCACTGAGTCGTTGAGGCAATAAAGATTCTGACCTGTATTTCATTATAAATGCATTTTAAAGTGAGGGCAGTGTGTTCATGGTCAAAGAATGACTCATTCCAATTTCTTTAAAGCTATATTTGAGCATGTTCCTGTACTGCCTGTCGCAAAGTCATTTTGAAACTGTGTGTAACATGCAGAGACATTCACAAGTCATTTTTTGCAAGTTCAAGTCAAGTCTCAAGTTCCTTATGGTTGTAATGAACATCCTATCATCTGCTGTGTGCCATACTGCATTGCTCTATCCAAGCCATATGCTTCATTATCATCATTCCATTATCTATTAGCATACAGTATCAGCATTGATTAGTTGTTAGGTGTATATAAAAATTAACATTGAGTGTTACTCATCGTAACAGCAAAATATTGCTAACTTTATAGGCATGCAATAACAGCTAACCTATTTTTCCAATAGCAATTAACAGAGTACAACTGTGTAATTACACTGGTGACTGGTGACAGCATACTGTAAATTAACATATCGCTCTAGCCTCTCAAGCAGCAATCTAAAAAGCCTGTACCATTATAAAGTCAACAATAACCCTGTAGCCCATACTGATAATTAACATGGTCTTTTTCTTTAACATTAGCCAGCAGAATGTGGGTCATAGCAAAGCCAGCACTCTATGCAAACAAATGTGGCAAGCAGAGAGACACTGGAACTCATCTTAGCCACAATTATCAAGGCACTAATGCTAACCTGTCTTTGATATTACCAAGTGACTGACTGACCTATCAAGGTGCATTTTGAGGTTTCCTGATAAAATGACATAGCAGCTACAGGTGCCATGCATGTGTAGTCACGCATAATAACAGCAAAGGGAATGACATTCAGCTCCTCAGACCTTTTCTTAATGGAAACGTGCTAAGAAAAATAAAAGTTCATGGATGCCAAATTTTGAGTCTGAGTTATCTTCTGACGAGGAGTCACTGTGCGTGTGCGCGCGACTTAAGTGCAACCTGAGTCCAAGTAGCAAACTCGAGTCCCTGTCTCTGGTAATATGCTTTATACACAGAGCATGGTGACTTCTTCTTTTAACTGTTGATTCTGTGTAATTCATGTGCTGTTTATTTGACTTATAACTTTCAATAATCTCTAACAAGTGATTATCCCTGCAAAAATCCTTGATAGATACTGCATGTCAATACACTCTTCAATCTCTGAGCTATGCAGCTGGCATCACTATATAATAACCTTTAAGGGATATACTGTATGTCTACACTTAAAGATTTAAGGCGTCCTTATTGTAGCCCTAGGAATCTTGCTTAAGTAACAAAAAAACATGTTTTGATTGTCTAGTGAAGCGAAATTAAATGGAGAAAGCAAGTGTTTTATCGACAAAAAACCCCCAAAAAACTTATAATCAGGATAATAATAATGAGGATAATCAGCTTTATTTGGCCAAATATGTTACACACAAGGAATTTGTTTCCGGTACAGAACTTAGGCAGCCATCTGCGGCATCAAATCAGCCGATGGCTCTAACCATCGGGGGTTGGGGGTTCAGGGTCTTGCCCAAGGACACTTCGACACATGGACTACAGGCATCCAGATTCTATCCTCCGCCCCTCCAGTTGGGAGACGACTGCTCTACCCAGAACTCACAACAGAAAAAGTTGCTCCTCTGTGACCCGAGATCACCAAGATCATAAGTTAACACCCTGCCTATACTTTCAGCAAAAGACTATGTTCCAAGATGCTAAAGTTACATCCTTCATACTTAGTGTTCATAAAATAAAAACAGACAACCAGTGGTAGAAAGTAACTAAGTACATTTACTCAAGTATTGTACTTGAGTAAAATTTTGAGGTATCTGTACTTTAGTATTTTGATTTTGTGCTCTTCATACTTCACTACATTTTAGAGGCAAATATTGTACAGTTTTACTCCACTACACCCATTTTATAACTTGTTACTTTTCAGAACCAGATTATTACAAAAAATACAGTATAATCGTAAGACCTTATTGACCTCAAGTGGAAAATTCACAAGCTACACAGCAGTAGTCCAAATTATAAGCATACATATATGCTGGTTAAAACTAGTTCCCCCTTTACCAGCTGCAACATTGCAGTAATATTGCAAAAGTGATTATAATCAACTCATGTGATATACATTAATTTTAATCATGCAGTTCTGCATGATAAGTACTTCATTATATGTTGATGCTAATACTTATGTACTTTTACTTAAGTAACATTTTGAGTGGAGGACTTTTACCTGTAACTGAGTATTTTTACACTATTGTTTTGCTACTCTTACTTAAGGGATCCCAGTAAACATCACTGAGCTCTTACCTGAGGAATGTTAAAGAAGACCAGGGTGGACATGTAAAAAAAAGCAGAGAGAAGAGAGAAAGAGAATCATTAGTCGAAGGTCAATCTGTGTGTGAAAACACCTCATGAGATGAAATCATCCATATGTCAGCCTTCCATAGAGTCTAACACAGCATCTGTCACCGCAGTAGGATTGAATGGTATTTAGTAGGCGGACACACAGATGCTGAAGGGCCTCCCTTGAGCGCAATGAGCCTTGCATCTCAAGTTTCCTGCCTCGGTTATTAGCCATTACTCCCATTTGTGAAAGGTCGATGAAGCAGCAGCAGCAATCTCAGCCCATCATGCCTGCAGTATACACCACATGTCCTTCACAGGCAGCCATACCTGACCGGCCCTGTGATTTTACTGTGTATTTAGGCTAATAGCTTAAGCAATGGGAGTGCAGAGGGCCGAGACAGGAATGAGGATTTCCTCTTTGTTGGTGTGATCCTTCATATTCACACAGCTGATGGTTTCAAACAGCCATAAGCCACAAAGAATAGAATCACTGCTATTCTTCACTGTACACAGTAAAAAGTCCAGTGTTGATTTGACTCTCAAAGAGTTGATTTTAACTCTATTTCAGAGTTTATATAGCTCCACACTTTTGTCATACTGTGATGGCACCTACTACCAGGAAAACAGACTTCTCTCAGAAAAGGGTCAGAAATTATCAGTCATTCTCTATGTTGATGATTTTGAAATTGCAAACCCTCTAGGCACATCAAAGAAAATACACAAAGTATGTGCGGTTTATTGGACATTAGCTAACCTTCCAGTAAAGTACCGCTCAGTCCTACACTCCACTCAGTTAGCCCTTCTGTGCAATTCAAATGATGTACGTTACTTTGGATATGCTAAAGTTTTTGCACCACTCTTGAAAGACTTAAACATACTTGAAAAAGATGGTGTCTACATTGAAACACTCAGTGACTGTCTCAAAGGAACAGTCTACGCTGTTGTGGCTGCATATCTGGCCGCACATGGATTGGATGGTTTCAATGAGAGTTTCAGGTCTACATATTTCTGCAGATTTTGCCTTGCCACACAGACGGACATACAAACATCAGATGCAGTCAATGGCCATTTTGAGATGAGAACCAAAGAGATGCATGATGACCTCATACACAAAATACAGAACAATGACAGTGAAGAAAGTTATGGTGTAAAACACAGTTGTGTTCTCTCTGACCATCTCTCTTATTTTCATCCAATCACAGGTTTTCCACCAGACATCCTGCATGACCTCTTTGAAGGTGTGGTTCCTGTTGAGCTGGCCCATTGTCTGAAAGGTTTGATTGCAAAGAAATATTTCACTTTGGAAGAGCTTAATAGGGCAATTCTGTCTTTTCCCTTACAACATTCTGATAGGGTTGACCGCCCTCACCCAGTTCCACATAACTTTGCCATTCGAGGAACAATTGGTGGGAATGGGCACGAGAACCACACTCTACTTAGATTGCTACCTGTCCTCATTGGCTCCAGAGTCCCAGAAGGGGACAAATTTTGGGAGGTACTAATGGATACACATGCATTCATATCAAGCATCACAAACAGCAGTAGTGTATGTGGCACAAAACAAGTAACCATTGAAGGCACAACTTTTGGGGTTGGCATGTTTCTTTGTACTGGCACACATGCTGCCTTGCCCAAGTTTGAAGAGATCAGAAACATACTTCTGATTGGAAGTGACATATTCTTTCTACTGAAAGATTATGAGACCTGGTACATTGAGCATTTGCGGTCATATGAGCTAAGATATCATAAAAGTGAGGGCTATACATTGAAAACTGTGAGTCAGCTGACTGACCAAATCCCTCTGTTTGCCTATAGAGTTTTCAGCAAACTGATTCTCACAACAAAACATTATATTCCAGTGTCCAACTAAAAAAGCGGCACCACAGAGAGCAGCACTCCTCAGCCTTGACCTGAAGGAGGTGAAAGATCTGCCTGGACTTTACTATAAAAACTGGGGATCCCCTTCTTTCTGGACACTGGACAACAATTGAAGGTAATGTCCGATTTACACTATGACCCCTGTGTTACATGTCATTACAGTTAAATTCATCTTGTATAGATTATGTGAATTTCCATTGATGTTTTACTTGCCTGGTAACATGACAGCACTTCAGGAAGCTGCTGCTTCTGTCACCTAATGATCCACAAACTCCAACTTTTTGTGCACGTTAAACAAAATACAAATGTGTTAATCAGTGAAAGTGTTTTGTTTTTCTTTACAGATTATCCCAATACAGAGTAAATGGAAGCGAGTGCTGTTTTGAAACTACG